CTAGGACCAGCAAAGAGTCCATGAACAAGGTGTCTCCCAATCCCAAGTCTGAAGAAGGTAAGAACACCTTAGGAGAAGAAAAGCCTGCAAGTGGGAGCTTGGCTGGAGGGGCTGGGCCTGCGAAAGGATGGAAGAGGAGAGGAGCAGAAGGGGCAGGGGGCGGGGCAGGGATGGGGCAGGAGAGGTACCAAGTCAGGGTCAGGCAGGGCCTCACGGGTCATCTGAGACACCATGAAGGTCTTGGAGAGATGGCTCAGCGGCTAAGAACACTGGCTATTCTTACAGAAGACCCGGGTTCAAACCCCAGCACCCACATGGCAGCTAACAACTGTCCATAACTCCAGTCCCAGGAGATCCAACAGCCTCTTCTGACCTCCGTGGGCATTGCATGACATGGGTGCACTTACCTACATGCAAGCAATACATGCATACACATAAAATAAAAAGAATGGTTTTTTTTAGAAAGAAAATTGGAAAACATGATTTTTATTTTATGTGTATGAGTGTTATGCCTACATATATGTAAGTCTACCTGTGTCATGCAGTGTACAAGGAGGTCAGAAGAGGGTATCTGATCCCCTGGAATTGGGGTTACAGATGGTTGTTAGCCACTATGTGGGTGCTGGGAATTGAACTCAGGTCCTCTGCAAGAACATCCAGTGTTCTTCATCACTGAGTCATCTCTCCAGCTCCCCTTTTAAAAATATTTATGTTTTATATATGAGTGTTTCACTACATGTATGTAAATGCACCCGTCAAGCAATGCCCACAGAAGCCAGAACATGGCATTGGATTCCCTGGAACCGTAGTTATAAATGGCTGTTAGCTGCCATGTGGGTGCTGGGAACTGAACACAGGTCTTCTGGAAGAACAGCCACTGCTCTAACTGCTGAGCCATCTCTCCAGTCCCGTGACCGAGTTTTAAAGAGAATGGTGTGGTTACATTTTAGTAAGAAGCAGCACTTGGCACTGCGAGGTGATGAATTGACAGGACAAAGTGGAAGCACAGCTGACAGGTAGCAGCTCCGGCAGACCAGGCAAAACACGAGAGCCGTGTGGATTAGGACGTTCCAGTGGCCACACCAATCAGTGAAGAAGAACCACGCCTCCAAGAGGCAGAGGGACAGTGCACACAGGTGACCTGTGGAGAGGCGCCGACTGTCTGTGTACAGGGCACTGCCTGTCTGTGTTCTAATTGGAACACAGATCTCCTGTCTTCTGACATAGACTGGAGCTTACACATCAGCTCTCGAGTCTGGATTTCTCAAACTCCATAACCTCCTGACCTAAATCTCTACAGTGTAATCTCTACACTAAAGTTCTTTGTCCTCTTCCCCCTCCTCCCCATATACAAATTGGCTCTGCTTCTCTAGAAAATTCTAAATGATACTAAAAAAAGATGTGTACTTTCACCCACACTGTAAAAATACTAAGACTAACTGGAGAGCTTACAGCCAGATGGCACAGGTGCCAAGGAGGTGTTAAGCCTTTATTTGGATTTTGACGAATAGGGAGGTGGGGTATGAATTCATGGAAAGAGAAGAGGAGGAGGCTAAATGGGGACAAAATTTATTAAAAACTGAGTGGCCAGTGAGATGGTGCATGAGGTAAAGGTCCTTTCAACAGAGGCCTGGCAATTTGATCCCTGGGACCCATGTAAAGGTGCAAGGAGAGAATCAGCTCCACAAAGGTGTCCTTTGACCTCCACACACGCACCGTGGCATGCTCACCCACATATACATATGGACATACATACACATAGAATAACAAATTTTTAATTTTAAGAAGTTGTGTGCATTTAGAATGTCAACCACTCACTTACAAAGGAAAACAGCTTTCTCTTCTGAACTGTAAGAAACGGTACTGAAGACGACTCTGACGTAGACGTGAAAGAAGGGCTGGAGTCGACCATACTCGCGAGTATTAACTCTGCACTTACTTAACATGGAGGCTGCCTCCGACACTGTGCTGAACGATGGACATAAGTAGCTATGGGTCTTGGTCCTCAAGGACAGTATCACGACAGCCACAAACACTGTGGTATTTAACACAGGTTATCAAGAAGAGACAGAATCACCCAGGAGACAAACTTCTGGGCACATCTTGTGGGACCTTCTAGATGAGGTTAGGAGGGTCCCAGACTGAGTATGCAGGAGAAGGTGAGCTGAGCATGAACACTCTTGTGTCTTTCCGGTTGACCCGCTGCCTTGTGCCCCTGCCCTCAATGTTAGGCTGCAGCCCCTTACACCGTGATTCAAAACAGCTTCCTTGAGCTGTTTCTGTCAAGTGTTTGGTGGAAACCATGAGGAAATCAATACAAACCCCTACCAGGTTTCTAGGAGAAAGGACAGCTGATGTGAAAAATGTCTTATAAAGTATGCGATTAAAAAATGAACAAATAAAAGAATTATCTCATATACACATGAGTATAAAAATATTTACCTGTATAAAGTTACTCTGCTCCAGGTGCCTGAATTGTGGACAGAAGATCGAGTGAGGTAAACACATGCATCTCCTGGGTTGGTACTCTACCGTGTGGCAAATTCCATGTTCAAGTGCTCCACCAAATGAGCAAGTTTTCCCGCAGTAAGTGAGCTTGTTTTGGTTTTCCAGCCTGATCTAACCAGCTATAGGCCACACAGAACACTGGGTTGCTCCTTTAACATTTCAGATTTTCAAAATGTATTAATAGCATTGGCTTGTGGCTCAAAGACCACAGCACACTGCTTCATGTCACCCTCAAGGTTAATGTTAGACCTTCTCAAAAGAACAGACAGCACTTGAGACAGTGGAAAAGAACCCTCTGAACTTCACAGATGGTCATCACCCTTTCGGGCTTTGGGGAAGAGTGCTCAGACTCGAGAAGATCGACATCGGTAAGGCATCACCTGTACAACACTTTGCATTATGCAGCCGTAACTTTCACTCTGACACTATTTTCTATTACCGTTCACAGACATTTCTTGCCTGCGAGTTGCTGAGTACCACTCCTGAATAAAAAAATCTGTTTTTAAAGATTTTTAAGTTTATGTTGCCTGTGTGTGTGCCTCTATGTGTGCATGTGTGTGCCTCTGTGTGTGCGTGCGCCTGTGTGTGTGTGCGCATGTGTGTGTGCCTCTGTGTGTGCGTGTGCCTGTGTGTGTGCCTCTGTGTGCGTGTGCCTGTGTGTGTGCACGCGTGTGTGTGTGCCTGTGTGTGTGTGCCTGTGTGCCTCTGTGTGTGCGTGTGCCTGTGTGTGTGCGTGTGCCTGTGTGTGTGCGTGTGCCTGTGTGTGTGTGCCTGTGTGTGTGTGCCTCTGTGTGTGCATGTGCGTGTGTGGGCGCCTGTGTATGTGTCTGTGTATGTGCGTGTGCCTGTGTGTGTGTGCCTGTGTGTGTGTGCCTCTGTGTGTGCATGTGCCTGTGTGTGTGCACGCGTGTGTGTGTGTGCCTGTGTGTGTGCCTCTGTGTGTGCCTCTGTGTGCCTCTGTGTGTGCGTGTGCCTGTGTGTGTGCGTGTGCGTGTGTGTGTGTGCCTGTGTGTGTGCGTGTGCCTGTGTGTGTGTGCCTGTGTGTGTGCATGTGTGTGTGCCTGTGTGTGTGCATGTGCCTGTGTGTGCGCACGCGTGTGTGTGTGCGTGTGCCTGTGTGTGTGTGCATGTGTGTGCCTCTGTGTGTGCATGTGCCTGTGTGTGCGTGCGCGCGCGTGTGTGTGTGTGTGTGTGTGTGTGTGTGAGTGAGTGTTGCATATGTGCGGGTGCCTTCAGAGACCAGAAGACAGTGTCAGGTCCCCTGGAGTTGGAGTTACAAGAAGTTGTGAGCTGTCAGATGTAGGCACTGGAAACTGAACTCAGTCGTCTGCAAGGTCTCAAGAGCAGCAAGTGCTCTTGACCTCCGATCCACCTCCCCAGCCCCAAAATGTTTATCTGTAAACATGCAAGAGCATTCTACGTCCTACCAATATGTGGCTTTGACTGTGTACTCTGTACTGGTTTTTATTGCAGTGACCGTCCTGTTGTGCTCTCACTAGCCTTAAAGAAACATGCTCAATGGTACCCTATTTCCATGGGCTTTTTAAATGGATTTGCTTGTTTCATGCACTGATAGAATTTATCCACATTAATCACTTTTTCTAATAAATTCTCAATTGTGTTTTATTACTAGGTTGAGAACCAAGGCTCACAAATTTCTTTTTAGCTCTCATCTTCGAGTTAGAACACTGCTGTGTATGAAACAATGATTCTGACAAGATTCTAATGTACCTTATGCCATGTTTACAAGAGAGAGTAGGTATGTGTGCTCAAAATCACTGAAAGTACTATGTGAAGGGAAGGGCTTACTCAGTTCTCCCGATCACTTTCCTACAGAGCTGGAATGTGGATCGATCCCTCAGTTAGTTTTCAGGTAATGATATGATCAATGATAATTAGCTCGGTGAGGTAGCTCACGTCTTAATCCCAACACTCAGATGGCAGAGGCAGGTGGATCTCTGTGAGTTCTAGGCCAGCCTGGTCTACATAGTAAGACCCTGTCTCAAAAATAAAACAACAGAGTAAGTCATGAAATAAGCATACATTTGAATTCTATGCAGTCATTAAGAGGAACAGTTAGATTCATTGACTTGGAAAGGTAGTTGTAACACCACAGCTCTGCCATGCTGGCATGTGTTTCAAGTGTGGCCATGTGCACATGTACACACACAGTAAATATTTAGAAGAATGAGAGTTAATGTGACTTCTGTTACAGAGGTGTTTTTCATTTTTCTGGTCTAAATTTTGTCATTTTTCTGTAACAAACATCTACAACCTTCATAGTTACAATATTCCTTCATGTGTCCATCCATCCACATAAGCACGGCTACGAAGCCTCTTCCCCGACTGTGCTTCCTAGACACTTGGCCTTTTGGGCTTTGAGCCTGCCCAGCAAGACCCACTGGTGCTGGGGTGGCTCTGGAGACACATTCCATCCCATAGTGCTCCTCGTACTCAGCCGTCCCCTACCACATAGCAACAGTCCCGCTCACCAAGCTCTCCTGGATGCAGGGCGTCTCCAGCAGCCTCCGGGCTCCACTCTCCACGGTGACTCCCAGCCAGTTAAGTGCTGCCCAGCACCAGAGGTCATCATAGCTGCCGTGCCAGTAGCTCACGAAGGCAAATGTCATCGCAGTGGAAAGCAGTGTCCCCAGGAGGCCACGCTGGGACCCACCCAGGGGAATGTACACATACCTGGAGGGAGAAGAGACCATGAGGAGCCATGCAGAGGGATGGAGGGGCAGAGGGACGCACCCGCCACCCTCTGCTGTCTGGCTTGATTCCTTTGCACACATTAATGTTCTTGGTTCACAGACTCTCCCCTACTTCAAGAGGCCATAGGCCAACTCCTTGAAGTCTTCACCACCCCTACAGTGGGCAAAAGTCCAAACCTCCATATTGTGGGGCTTTAGGTTAAATGAACACACAGACTACGGAGCTTTCGTTACAAAGCAAAACAGCATTTACAAGAGGGAGGAAGAGAAGCAACAGGTTTAGAGGCTTCGAAAGGATGTACCCAACTCTAGAAACACAATCGTGGGGTGGCAATTCAGTTGCCAGCTGTGTGAGGACATGGACCTTCAGGGAAACTGTATGTTTTATAGCTCAGACTTCTACATTTATGGTAGATCGATTATTTAAACACAGGTGCTAAAATCGGACCCTTAAACGGTAGGAGCTAGGTGCGCATGAAGGTGACAGGGCTGGTCCCAGCTTCCGAGACAAGTGGCCGTGAATCAAGTACAGGCAAGAGCTCTATACTCACAGGACAGCCAGACCACAGTCCCTCACCCTCCACCCCAGTGCACGGCTGTCCACAGAGGCTCTCCATCAACAAGTCAGCTGGCACTCTGGGTTACCATGTGGGAACTAGGAGCATCCCTCCCTGTAGCAGGGTCTTTAAAGCCCACAGGCCTTGGCTATTCTTCACCCAACTTCCCTCTGGGAAAGGAAAGGAGGCCTTTATACCAACACATGGTACATTCTGAAATACTTTACATGGTTTTTTAAAAATTATTCTTCGAAGCACTGTGTGATTCACACCTGCCACCCCAGAATCCCAAACAGCTTAGTATTTGTCCTGTATGTGTTTTCATTTTTTTGGAAAAGCTTTATTTAAAAGTAGTTTTAATATAAATACCTACAGCAAAAGCAAGCCATAAATAAAAACAATTAGAAAAAAAACAAATGTCAAAAAATTATACAATTATTTTAATTTGAAACAATTAAATCAATATATAAAGATTGTGCATATTAAGGAACCGCAGAGTAATGTTTGGTACATTTGCGCACTGTGCAATGTTATCTGACCATTAGAAATCCTCTTCTCTGATTCTGGGAGATAGAAGTCAGGATCTTGTACACACTAGGAAAGCATCAATCATACCCCTCGTCCCCCCCTCAGATTTTGTGATTTTTTTCTTTATGATAAACACATAAACACCCCTTCCCCTCGCTTTTTAAACATGCAAACATGATCATCATCTACAGTCAACCTCTGTGCACCAGCAGGCCAGGACTCTTTGGTCCTAACTGAAATGGGAATTGTTTTTGGAAGTAATTGGTTTGAGATTAACCTCAAGGTTTCACACATGCTAGGCAAGTACTCTACCACTAACCTACACCCCCAAGGCCATGATGGTTAATTATTTTTAAACATCCCCTTCCACAGAGACCCTCTCCCTTGAGTAAGCTTTATAGGCTCCTCTGAGCTCTCTACCTTGACTTTGCTTAGTGGCCTGCATCAACCAGCTGTAGCGAGAATCCTGCTAGTTCAGAGAGTCCCTGCCCGTCTCCATACACCTTCAATATCAGATCACCCTTAATATCCAGCCAAGTTCCCACCCCACTCCCCCGGCCACTCTAGTCAGCCTGGCTGTCTTTCAGCAAGAATTCCATTAGGTTGGAAACTAGGAGAATGGCTCAGTAGGTAAAATGCTTGTGCTGAAACCACAAGGTCCTGAGGTCTATCCCCGGAATCCGCATTTTTTTTTTTGAGACAGGGTCTCCCTGTAGCTCCAGCTGACCTGGAACTCACTGTGTAGACCAGTCTGACTCAATCTCATAGAGACCCACCTGCCTCTGCCTCCCAAGTGCTGGAAATAAAGGTATGTACCACGATGCTGAGCTAGAACCCACATTTTTAAAAAGGTGTGGTAGTACACAGGTGTAATCCCAGGGTTAGAGAGGTCAAGGTGGATGACCCCTGGTCTAGCCAACTTGACAAGCTTTGGGCCAGTGAGAAGCCCTATCTCTAAAAACAAGTTTGACGGCACCTGAGAAACAACACCCAAAGTTGTCCTCTGGCCTCTACACGCACGTGCACACACAATGCACATGTACCTGCACACATGTGTGTACCTGCACATATAAACACACACATGTACAAAGCATCCCATTAGGTCTGTTTAACCAGAACCCTCCTAAACCTCAATGTTTCTTCAGTAATTCTCTATCCGGTGACTCTGCTCCCTGGCCATGCTCCACAGTGCTCACCATCGCCCAGCTTGGTGCAGAGGCCACTTCCCCCCTTTGTGGTAATTCCTACATACACTCTGTGCTCACACTCCACTGCCCATCTCTGGTTCTCCTTCACCATCTTTCACTCTCAAATGTATTCTAGTTTAGATAATGAATCATGCGATCACCTTAGCTGATCCCACTGAGGCTGAGAAGTTCATTTGCTCGAGATACTCAGCTAGGACAGGAAAGGGCTGAGACAAAGTCTGTGTCAATGCCACCGAAGCTAATGGTTCCTTTCCTTTCCTGTGGTTCTCCCTAGTCAGAAGGAACCGGCCCTGAAGGCCGAGGCAATGGAGTCGCTTCAGAAGCCCGAGGAGCAGATGTACTTTCTCTTGAACAAAACCAAGATGTCTTGACAAAGTAGTAACGACGTGTCTAGCAATCACTGTATACTAAAGGATGTTCCTTCAGGGGCTCCAGAGATGGCTTAGCGGGTAAAGTGGTTGCCTTGCAAGCATGAGGCTCTCAGTTCAGTCCCCAGATTGGAAAAACAAAAAAACAAGAAACTTTCAACAGGTGGACCCCTGGAGCCCGCTGGCCGGCCAGCCAGCCAGTCTGGACTGATTACATGTGAAGGCCACCAGGAAGGGTTAAGAGTGTGGGACACAGGGGATGAGGGAGGCTTAACCACGGAGGGTGCCGGGGCCTAAAGGATGAGGTTGTCTAGGCAGAGGGAAGAAGAACTGGGTGCTGCTGAAATAACTCAGAGGAGGGGTGGGCATGGGCCAGAAATGGCCTGCAGGGGCACAGGTCTTACTTGGAGTTCTGCTGCCCCCTAGAGGCTGCTTGGTTATCATTATGCAACACTCTGCAGGGTTATAATACAGATTCTTCTGGGCTGCCTCCTAGCTGCACCGAGTAGCCCTGCCCCGTCACCAGGCCTTCCACTTTATACCACCGAATGTTGTCACAACACTGTACGTTAACACAACAAGATGATCACCTGCTACAGTATTAGAAATGACTGGTTTAAGGAAGCACTGCGGTGGTTTACAAGGGATCCATAATCTCCCACAACCTGCTTTCTTGTTGACATTGCTATTGTGTGGACTAAGCTGTACTGTGAATGTCATAAAAACCCAGTGCAGAATAAAACCCTGTCATGGTTGGACTTGGTGGTACATGCCTTTAATTCCAGTGCTCAAGAGGCAGAGACAGGCGGGTTGCTGTGTGCAGTGAGATCATGGCCAGCCTGGGACCATCTACATGGGGAGCTCCAGGCCAGCTGGGGCCAGCGACATTTTTTAAAAATTTAAAAACCCTGCTGTGGCATGCTTCCCATCAACAGAACTTCATTGGATCTTGACCTGTCCACGAGCCTAGGGGGAGGCAGCATGTACCCCGTCACAGCTATTTTAGGTGCCAGAACTTCATTGGATCTTGACCTGTCCACGAGCCTAGGGGGAGGCAGCATCTATTTTAGGTACCTCCTGGAAGCATGGCTCTTATTTTGCCTTTGAAATGACAGCTAACAAAAATCTCCAGAAATTCCCGTATGGCCCTGTCTCCAAGGACACAGGCCGCTGGTTCCAAACCAGAAGACGGCACTAGACTGCACAGGACAACAGGCTGACGCGAAGGAGAGGGAACGGGGGGGGGGGGTGTTCTTTACAAGTTCTACATGCCTTGTCCTATGGTTAATAAAAACAGAAGCATGTCTGCTTTAGAAAACTGCACAACCCGACTTACTGGGATGTGCTGCACATCCATGCTTCTCTCTCAGTGGAAGGACTCCATATCACCTCCTCAGCAACAGAGGTCAGGGGAGGGCTGAGTCTACTACGTCTACACATGTCCTGGCCCTGCCTGGTCAGCTCTGTGTGGTCAACGTCTGCAAAGAATGCTGCTTGAAAGGTGAACCCCCCTCTGCAGGCTCCATCTTCATATAGAACATCTCACAGAATCAAGGCAACATGAATGTCTCAACCCAGAAGGGACCTACACGCAGTGGGCAGTGTTGACAGTGTCTGTCCAACTGGGTGCCCTTCCTGGGGGCTTTCTGCACACTGTAGACACTGGTTAAGAAAAGCTTCAGGGGAAGAGTCAGGAGGCCTGTTTTGTCTAGGAGATGTCAACGTTAGGCCTAGAATGCTCTCTGACATGACTCATCACAATGGGAGTGTTCCTTGATGGTAAATGGGCTGAGAGGAGCACTGACAGTGGGAGCCAGGCTTATGGGAGCTCTTAATCAGATCAGATCAGTCTCCATAGAAATACTAGTCTTTCTCTTTTGAGACAGGGTCTCCCACTGTAGCCCCAGCAGGCCTCAAACTCAAGGCAATCTCCCTGCCTCCTCCTCCCCAGGGCCGGGATCACAAGCATTACCCACCGTGCCCTGTCTTCTATTAACTGAAAAAAAATAAAAAAGAGTAGTCTTGCTCAAGAGAATAATTCTCCTTTACGAAGGAGTTTGAGACTGTGAATTCTGTTAGCTACAAGGAGTGTCAGGTCAGCTCAGAGACATAATGCTTCTTACTGAACAAAAAGTCACCCTCTGTCTCATAGGTAGAAACAACACCTACTACAGTGGTCAAGCTGACACTCGACAGATGGCTGCATAGAGCAGTGCACAGGAAGTTGGTGGGTGAGTGGGTGGGTGGTTGTAAGCAGGTGCCCATGAAGGGAGAGATGGTCTCTACCTCCCCCCATGCCCACCATGAACACAACCTCTC